TGATATGTAATTCTGAGTTTTAATGGAGGAAAGTAGAAATAAATTACATATTTGGAATCTACACGAAAAATCATGCAGTTTTGGTTAAAGAAAATCGAATTTTGGTTAATAAATGAGAAAGTTCCATTGTTGGCTAGAGGCTGAAGATGACCGGAAAATATTTCGGCCATCAGCACCACCGCGCGAGCCACCGCAGGAGGGGTTCCCTCCGTTTTTCCGTTCAAAAGCTCAGACACAGCAGCGACCGTTGGATCGCGTATTTGCGTTGACTTCATCATCTCAATGCACGGCCAGGATTGCTTCGTGTTTGGCCATTCCCTACAGTTCAAAAACGCTGCGTTTTGTATTCTCGCAGCTGGGCTTAAGTGAATTTCGCTGCTACCAACACCCCCTCACGCGAGGCCCACACGAAACAACACATAGAATACTACTAGACGCACCCCCCTGGCCTGTTCCCATGTGCAAAATGCTGATTTTTTTTTATTCTCTCAGCTGGGCCAGCGTCCCGTTACTGTTCGCACCCCTGTCTCGGGAGGCCCATTAGCAAGTACACATAGAAACAATATTTATTACACCTCCTAGTCTCCATTTAAATTTCTTTTTTCTCTTTAGTTTTTAATTGATACTTGTTTGGATTTAATTCAGAAAAAATAGTAATTGTTGTCAATAAATCTTGAAATAAATCCTGTAGATACTTTAACATGTCTAGAATATTTCCATATTTTTTAATTTCAGTTTTAGTGTATTTTACAATTAATTTCATATTTTCCATTTTAATGTGTTTTTAATAATTGGATGATTACATGCTGTGCTTTATGATTTTGTTTCTCTTTCAATAATTCATATTAGCCTCTGATTTTTTGTATGGTGAATGTTGACACATGAGATAATATTATACTATTTTTATTGCATTTTTTAGATTGCATTTGAATAGGTTTTGAGATAGTTTTTTATAGCCAGCCCCATGTGAATCCCTCATAGCATATCTCTTGGTTTAGCCTCTGGTTGGTATACTTAGACTAATAGTTTGGACTTGAAATCTTAACCATAGACTCCTAACACATTTAGGATCATCTAGGAATTTTATCAAGATTTTAGGACCTGATTTCCTATTTTTCCCATATTTTACTTTCTGACCAAAGTTTGTGTATTCATGATTGCACCTTCTCCTAGTTTGGCCTAATAATTGAACTTTTAGCCAATTTAAAGCACCCAATCTTCCCATTAACCCTTAGTACCTAGGTTGACCCCCTTTTAGGGTTTTTTTCAAGCCATTAGGATACCTTTAAGTTCCCTTAGGATGATTTCTGTTAGAGCTAAAACATTTAAGGTTTTTTTAGAGCTTTTGGTGATGCTTATGCCCTCTATGTAATTTCTTCCTTGGGCTTTGCCCTACCCTATTTCTCCAAGTCTTGAAGGGGAGCCCTCCTGGGAGAGCTTAATCCTTCCTTTGGTTAGATTCTATGCATTCCTCAGGAGGTTGAGCCCTGAATTGACATTCCCTAGTATAGTACATTACTTTGGTTTGTATTATCCTTCTCTTTTAAGTCTTGATGAGGAGCCTTCCTGGGAGAGCCTAATCCTTCCTTTGGTTGGATTCTGTGCATTTCTCAGGAGGTTGAGCCTTAGATTGGCATTCTTGGCATGGTATATTCCTTTGGTTTATATACTGTCATCCATCTCAAAGTCCTTTACTTAGGATCCCTCTTGGGAGAGCCTAATCCTTCCCTTGGTTGGATTTTGTGCATTCCTCAACAGGTTGAGCCTGAGATGGACATCCAGTGTTGATACATTTTACCAGTTACCTTAGATGGATATCTAAGACTAATACCTAGTCTTTTCTGTCCTATTGACATAGGATCCCTCTTGGGAGAGCCTAATCCTTCCCTTGATTGGATTTTGTGCATTCCTCAAGAGGTTGAGCCCATGATGGACTCTGGTATTGATACACCTCCAACCTGATGTAGCATGGGATGACTTTCCTGTGGCTCATTTTGGTTTCTCTCACCCTTGTTTGGTTGATTGATGCATTAGAATAGATTCATGTGTAGCATATTTAGGCTAGGAGCATGACTGCTTAGAGGTTGAGTGAGTCTCCCTCTGCTTGTTTGCCTTAAGGGTTGAGGTGGTCCTCCCCTTGCTTGTGTGTTGTTTTTCTTTTTCTAATTGACGTATTTGCATATAGAGGTTGAGTTTGTCTCCCTCTGCTTGTCTGTTTTGACTGTTTTCTTTTTGCTTGATTGCTAAGAAGTTGAGTTTGTCTCCTTCTGATTGTATTGTTGCATTGCATGCATTTTACTTACAGTATTTTCTTTTCAGTTATTGCTTTTGCTGTTGCTTGCCATTGCCATGTTCCCTTAGGAACTCTGACCTCTCTTGTTCAAGAGAAGTTACGACAGACATTAGGGTTCTAACCATGCATGATAACACTAGGTAGCTCCCTCATAACCTTAACCATATGATCAATTTTGCATGACGACATTAGGGTTGGACCAGTTCCCCTTTAGTGCGTCCTTTCTCTTCTCATCTCAAAACAACAGTAAAAAACGTAATAAAAGCAAGTTAGTAGAAGCGCGTTATGAGCCTTAAGCTACTTGGGTAATGATAATTGAGCGGCCTCCTCTCAATCGTCTAGAGTGTTTGGTATACGTCCTTTGGATGATATGTGACGCATTCCTTCCCAGGTCATAGTCTCTAGGGTTGTACTAACTACAAACACCCATAAAAAACACTTCTTTCGTAAAAGGCAGAAAACAAAGATCAAACTCTTTTTGTCCTCCTGGACCTTTAATCCTGGGAAATCATTTTCTTAAGGAAAGTGTCGTTAACGCCCAGTTCTACCGCAAACGGTAATGCCTAAGGCTCCAAAGGTCGAGCTGCATACACCAAATTGCTGGAACTGTTTGTTAACCCTACTCGATAAAAACAGAGGAATTTGACCCCTCCCGTAATCCGTCGTTGCCCGAACTACGTTTTCTCTGATTTTTCACGCCATGTGAAAGTACGTAGGCACGAGATGCGATATCTCGGCGAGAAACCTTCCCCCCGTCACCCGTAGTTAGGCGAACTACGTGGACTCTGATTTCTCGTTCCAGATGGGAATACGTATGCATAGAACTGCTATGTTCTGCCGAGTCATTTTTCTTTTCTTTTCAGACCAGACACAACCCTCAGATAAACACAACAAGTGTGGATCCCAACGAGTACGATGAACGTGAGGGGTGCTAATACCTTCCCCTTGCGTAACCGACTCCCGAATCCAGACATTGGTTGCAATGACCTTGTCTTATACCTTTTCGTCAGGTTTTTTCGATCGTTTCCTTTCCCTTTCTGTAGGATAAATAACGAAAGGTGGCGACTCTTCTGTTTTGCCGGCACCTTATTTTCGCGGTAGCGACAATCACCACAAAACCAAGGGGTCATGTGATGATTGATAACATAGAGGATGAAACTCCATATCAGTCTGATGGGATGTTACCTATTCTACCCACTATTAAAATTGAATCAATATCTTGTTTGCGTGACGACACACAAGTAGATGTGTTTGAAGAGATTTTTGATACGTAGTGAAGCAACGATAGGATATTGATTGAAGATGCACAACTATGTTATGGTTTATTATGTGTATTTTGTACTCCAATATCTTGATGAATATGATATTATCATTTCTCTTTTTCCTAAGCGTTACTGCTCTAAATTTATCTTTGTAATCACAGTTTGTATACAGTTTTGATAATCTGTGACTGTCACTAGGGCAATAGGGTTATGTTGTTAAATTTGTTCTCCTTGTTTGTGTTTGGAAACTGTCATTTGGAATTGGTAATTGTTATGAAATTCAATGCATGCAGTTATGAAATTCAATGCATCATTGGTTGTTATCTTACCCTAGGGCTGCTATCAGTCATGACATTCAATGCATACACATGACATACATAATACGAAAACAGCTTGCTGAAACCTACTAACAGCCCAAGCATTATGAAACTTAACACTTCCTCAATTTCACTAGTTAATAGATTAACTAAACATTTCAAACAGCTAACAGTTAAAACATACATCTGAACCACATTCCATGACAGTTCAAACTAATTTCAAAATACACAGTAGAAAAATCAGCACACTAACTCTGAAGAAAAGACTAAATGTTTCTATCATGACTTGACTCACCTCATTCGCCTGCTCCAAATCCATTGCCAGTGAGGGTTGCACCGGTCCCGCGGACTGCACCCATTTTGTGGACTGCGCCTGTGTCGCAGGCTGTACCACCATTGCAGACTACATTGTTATCTGCACCTAATCATGCCTCTACCTCTGTGGTATTTAGGTTTATGCCTACTCCAGGTTTAAGCATTCAAAATGTGGTTGTCCCTCTAGATAATGCCTCACGTGAGATTCCGATGGAGGAAAATGAAGAGGAAATTCAGGATGAGGACACAGAAGAGGTGGTCGTGGGTGAAGGTAATGTTCCCCCTCATTGATAATATGGGATGATAATGGGAAGGTTATTATACAAACTTGTGGTAGCGGGTAAGTTTAAAATATTTATTCAATATTGTAACAGGCTTCAACATTATCATTGGTTTCAACATTATATCATATGACATCATTGGTTTCATTCAATATTGTAGGCTTGTTCCGGCCAAAGAAGTAGCAAATGCCATTAATTATGCGATACACAAACAATTTTATAGGGGTTTCTATAATTGGACAGCAGTTTCCGATGATGTCAAAGAAAAATGGTTTGCTCTTTTTGCGGTAAGTATTTATTGAATTTTGTCTAAAAGCCTCAGCATTAAGGACAAAAACACATGTTACCTTCTATTTTGTAAGCACTCTGATAGAAATTGGTACCAAAAGACAAATTAATGGTAGAAACTGACTTTTATTTATGATAGAATATGTTTACAACAGACACAAAATTACAAAAACTATAGAGAATACATAATACATACATAAACTAATCCTAGAAATTTGAGAGCCTTGGTCTCTCCCTCCAAGAATTAGAGAGCTTGGTCTCTCCCACCCAAAACCTTTGCTGCTTGAGCTCTCAACACAAACTGATGGTAAATTGCAGCAATGGCAGCACCAATAAAGGGTTCAACCCAGAAGATCCACTACACACAAACAACATAAACGTTTCAGAACCCAATTATAATTATTTTCTATTATAGAACTATAGAACTAGCTAGAAATAGTATTAGTAACTATTTATTATAGAAACTAATGCATACTTGATCATCCCAAGCGTTCTCATTGTTGTAAATAACAGCAGCTCCAAAGCTTCTAGTAGGGTTGATACTAGTTCCAGTGATTGGAATAGTAGCAAGATGAACCATAAACACAGCAAAACCAATTGGAAACGGTGCCAAAACCTACACAAATATAGCACTTTAATTATTCAAAACAAAACGACAAAAAAACAGAAGATTAAAGTGCACTTTACGTAACGTACTGGAACATGAGAGTCTCTAGCATTTCTCTTTGGATCGATGGCAGAGAAAATGGTGTAAACAAGAACAAAAGTTCCAATTATCTCAGCACCTAACCCAGTTCCTTTACTGTAACCAGCGCTTAACATGTTTGCACCACCTTTGCTGTAATGTGAAACTGAAAATTCTGTTAAGTTGTTAGCTTGCTTGAATCATAGCTGGAGGGTGAATTAGTTGATTCAATTTGGTCTTAGAATTCTGTTAAACGAAATGAGTCAGTTCAGTTAGGTTAATTTTGTGTTGCATTTCTTATTATGACTTATTTAAAAGTTAGGATTGCTTTGGTTAGGCTATGATGATAGTTAGAAACCAGTTGGAGTCATGAGGTCAGTGAAAGCTTAAAACCTGTTATGTTATTGGATCAGTTAAATACTAGCTGGTGATAATGTGTTAGTTAATTTGGAACGTAATATGTGAATTTAGAAACTAATCTAAGTATGGTGTTAGTTGTGTTGAATGTTGAAATGTGAATTACCAAGCTTCGGGACTGAAACAGAGCATGAAAAAACAAATAAAACAACACCTAAAATTACAAGAAATGGCCCAAGATCGACACAACAACGACTAGATCAATCACCCAAACATCGACTACCGCCGGCGCAGAAAACACTACTACCAAACAAAAGTTTTTTGTTTTAGAAAACATTGATAAAACTAACTCAAACTTCACTGGCTACTGTTGCAGTTCAACTTTCGGTAGCGAATTTGAATCAAAAACTACAATAAACTCATCAGTTAGTGTTTAGGTTATCCTTTTATGGATGATGCAGCAATGTAACCTTACTTAATTATATATTTAAGCAACTTTTGTTATGCAGAATGAAAGTAAGACTGATAGCCACCAAATCTGAGTTGACAAACTCAGTTTCCTTATGGATAGATGCTGACAAACCGAACAGAACTGACATTACAATGCCTAGGATGTTTATACTATTTTAATCATTTTCAGAACAATGTTTCATGGGATCCTCAATATGAGATGTTTGTCAGGAAAGCCTTTTATTCAAAGGCATCCATTCGACTAAATGACATAATGAGGAAGGTGAGGTTAAAAGGGACCCGTCCTTCATGGATTGGTGAGGATGCCTGGAATGAGCTTGAAACTTATTGGAAGAGTGATTAGTTCTTGAAATTGTCCTCTCAAAACAAGGCCAATCGAAGTTCAGCAAGAGGAGGAGCAGTCTACACCTCAGGCCGTAAGGCTCATGTTGATGTAGCGCTTGAGCTTGTAAGTAATAAAGTCTATTTTTATTTCAATCTTTAATTATTTACACTATTAAATTTACTTTAATTTATATTTGTAGACCAAAAAACTACAAAGGGATGTATGCCCTGATGAGTTATTTTTAAAGACCCATAAGAGGAAAAATGGAGCATGGATTGATCATCGTGTTGAGTCTACATACGTAAGTTTTAATTAATTATGAACTTAATATCAAAATGAAATTACCTTGATCATATGACAATAACATGACATTATCTTAGTATGACACTTTCTTAATTTAATGTTTCTTTTTGACACTAGAAAGTATTAAAATGTAGAAGTTACATAGTGTATAATATTGATGCCTGGAATGAACTTGTCACTGCCATTCTTATCTAGAAAGTATTAAAATGTTAGTTTTCTCCCTTAATTTTGCAATATTATTGAATGGTGCCTTGCAGCGGATCTGCATCGCTGCACACCACCGCCGACTTCGACCACTGGCTGGCGGATGCCCTCGCCGGACTGCCTCTCTGCGGCAGCGGCATTTTTCCTGATGAGTTCAAATTTAGAACCTCCAAATTTAAGGTCCGAGATGAAACCCTTATTACTTAGACAAACGAGCTTTGAAACTAAGTACCAGAATTAGTCAAGAATCCGCAGGAATCAGCCATGGCTGGAATCCCAAAATTGCATATGTATTGTTATTGTTATGTAGCAGCTGTGGGGACCTTGGACAATTGTTAGCAGCTACAATTATGATATGCTACAATTGACAACAGTGACTGCTAGTAAATTAGCAGCTACAATTGACATTTGAACTGTTATGATATGCTACAATTAACAATAGTAAATTAGCAGCTACAATTATGATATGCTACAATTGACATTTGAACTGTTATGTAAATTAGCAACTACAATTTAAAATGTTATGATATGTTATATGTTTTGATAAATTATTTATGATCTTGATAAATTGATTGAAGGAGAACACGACATGACATAATTGTCATTATTGGAAAACATGGTCAGCATATATAGATTATACAATTGGAAAGCAGGCATAATTTTGTTGACTTTTACAATTTGACTTTAGCCTCGGTTAGGCCAAAGTTAAATATTTTGTTGACTTATAAAGTTTGAACTTAGCCTCGAAAAAGTCGAGGCAAAATGTTCCTTTAGCCTCGACCAGGACCAAGGCTAAATATTATGTGAGCTTATCGAGTTTGACTTTAGCCTCGGTCAGGCTCAGGCTATATTTTGTTTTTTGACACGGCTTCACCGAGGCTAATGTAGACACTGTTGGAAATTCACCTCACACCCTATGAAGAATTCCCTTCAATCTTGATCTCAAGATTGATGAACCAACCCACAATATGATAGTAATGGTAATAACAAGTAATTATCAAGAACAACAAAAGAAAAGAAGAACAAACAAGAAAGAGAAGAATGAGAGAAGAAATATTTGGAGAGAATGTGTTACCCACAACTGTGGGATTTCTTATTGCTTATAGAACTTTCACTTGCTCAAACTGCAACTGTGAAATCTGTTCTATGTTATGTTGTATAGAATACAAAGCAAGGCACCCTATTTATAGTTTTAGGTTTACAAAAGCCCAAACCATAAAAGGCCCAAAATATTCAAATCAAATCTAATCATATCAAAACAAATCAAAACAATGAATTACATTTAACACACCACCTAATTCATTGTGTCTAAACTTTCTACATTCATCATGGCTCTTAATCTTTTGAAGGCTTCGACCTGCACTCCCTTCGTCATGATATCTGCAATCTGATTCTCAGTTTTGCAGTGTTTCAACTTCATCTTACCTTCTGCTACCTGCTCTCGAAGATAGTGGAACCTCATTTCGATGTGCTTGCTTCGACCATGAGCTATTGGATTCTTCGCCAAGTTAATAGCTGACATGTTGTCTATCTTCATGGTAATTGCTCCATGATTCTTCCCTGTGATTTCTTCGACCAAGTTCACCATCCAAGTTGCTTGACATGCACAAAGAGAAGCAGCTATATATTCTGCTTCACATGATGATAATGCCACTACTGGTTCCTTTCTCGAATTCCAAGCAACTGGTGCACCACCTAACATAAGCACATAACCAGCTGTGGATTTTCGATCCTCAGCATCACTACACCAACTGGAGTCTGTGTATCCCACTAACTTGCATTCTTTTCCTTCATCAGCTGCTGGAAACAAAATACCATAGTCGAGAGTTTCTTTCAGATACCTCAGTATACTCTTCGCCGCTGCTAGGTGTGATACCTTTGGCTTCTGCACGAATCTACTTACCATACCAACACTGTATGCTAAGTCAGGCCTTGTGTGACAAATGTATCTAAGTGACCCAATAAGTCTTCTGTATTGGGTTAGGTCGACATCAGCTTCATCTGAATCCTTCGACAGTTGCAATCTGGGCTCAGCTGGAGTCGAAGTTTGGTTGCAATCTTGCATCTCAAATCTCTTGAGTATTTCGCCTGCATATCTTCTTTGGTGCATCATCAAACCTCTACTTGTCTTGTAGAATTCGATGCCAAGGAAATATGAGAGATTTCCCAAGTCTGACATTTCAAACTCCTCACTTAGGTCATGTTTGAAATCTTCGATCTCCTTCTTGCAACTCCCTGTTATCAACAAATCATCAACATAGAGACATAGTATAAGCAATTCGCCATTGCTTCTTCTTACATATACTCCATGCTCAGTTGTACACTTCACAAGTTCCTTCTCCCTTAAGAAGCTGTCGATTTTCTTATTCCAAGCTCTTGGAGCTTGCTTAAGTCCATACAGGGCTTTATGAAGCCTGTACACTTTTCTTTCTTCACCTTGTTTCACAAACCCAGCTGGTTGTGCAACATAAACTTCTTCGTCTAAGGGGCCATTAAAGAATGCACACTTCACGTCCATCTGACATGTGTGCCAGTTGTTCATATTTGCTAGACCAACAACCAACCTGATTGTTTCGATTCTAGCAACAGGTGCGAATACTTCATTGAAGGCGATTCCTTCCTTCTGAAGAAATCCTTTCGCCACATGTCTCGCCTTGTGTTGAGTTACTTCTCCTTTAGGATTTACCTTTACCTTGTAAACCCACTTCACATCAATTGCCTTCTTGCCTTGCGGCAATTTGACAAGTGACCAGGTATTATTGACTTCGATGGACTCCAACTCTTCAATCATTGCTTTCATCCACTTCGAATCTTTCAATGCCTCAACTGCATTGACTAGTTCAACATCTGCGTAGAAAGCATAATGTACCAACTCACCCTCTTCATCGACTACATCATCTGATGTAATTACACATTCTTGAAACCTTGCAGGCATGTGTCTTGTTCGTCGAGGTCGGCTTGAACCTGCTTCATCTGCAACTGGTTCTAGTCGAGCTTCTATTTCGACTTCAGTGGCTGGTTCTTCACAAGAGATTCTCACTTAATCCTTCTTGGCATTCTCAGTCCAATCCCATTCTTTAAGATCATCTATGATCACGTCCCTGCTGATCACTACCTGCTTATTCACTGGGTCGAACAACTTGTAGCCTCCTATCGAATGATATCCTATCAAGATCATCTGATTCGACTTATCATCAAGTTTCCTTCTCAACTGATCTGGCACATGTCTATGTGCTATAGATCCAAATACCTTCAAGTGACTGAGACTAGGCTTGACACCAGACCAACATTCTTCTGGTGTGATTCCTTCAAGCTTCTTCGTCGGACATCTGTTTAATATATATGTTGTTGTCGAAACTGCTTCTCCCCATAATTCTTTAGGTAGATGCTTTCCATTCAACATACTTCTCACCATATTCATGATGGTTCTGTTCTTGCGTTCTGCAATCCCATTTTTTTGTGGAGTGTATGGTGGCA